TTATTATTATTATTATTATTATTATTATTATTATTATTATTATAAGCATTAACTTCTGCAACGTTTCACACAATCACGCACGATCTGTAAGCACAAGTAGTACAAAGTGCACTCTTCACATACGAGTATAGCCTACAACTACATTGTCTTAATCGTTATTTTCAACTATTTTTTTTCTCCATTGCATCTTATCTCTATTTGCATGTCGCACTTTTTCACACACACACATGCATCACTCTCGACTTGGTTATAAGACATTTCCTTAAATCTTCCGACTTACTTTCTACCGGTGACTTAATCCCTCACGACGACTTATTCTAAACAGGCATACCGACACTCTTCCTGTCTGGCGCATATCTTTTTCTTCTTCCTCACACACCTTCCTTTGTATACAAAACATCTACCTGATCTTGCCTGCCTAGTTGCGCATGAATTGCATATCAAGATCTCTATAATAATAATATTTCTATTGTATTTGCGTACGTGTATATGTCTGACAGTAATGCAACTATATAGCAAATATTCTAATCTTTCAATGTGACAGTAATGTAACAGCAACATTCTAATCTTTCCTCTGTAAGAAACTATCTTCTTCGACTTCACTGTACAACTACCTTTGTATTTACGCACGTTTTACACGTCTAATCGCAATGAGGTCTTGCCGTGTAATCTGTACAAATTGCGCATCCCTAACTCCTAACTAGATATTACTTTGTAAATTCCTAAACGCAAACATAGAGTTGAAGTACAAGTACTAGTTGACTAAAACGAGTAATATATTTACATAATTCGGCTTACATTAAAAACGTCACTGATCAACACTTCTTAACATTTACGTATAAAAAAAATCATTGGCGTATCTTAAAACGCCTCTCTTTAATAATTTTATTGAAAGACACTTTGCACTCGCAGCGACATTTAAAAGATTTATCAGAATGATGAAATAGCTCGTTAATGTTAGTCGCCTAGCTATTGAATCGTTTTCTTCAACTCTGGAATATTTGCCGGATAATTTTGCCTATTCATCTCGTTCCAAATCCCATCTTGTTCCACCCCGGCCAACGGTCCCGACGCAACGCTGACAACCACCGACTAAAAGACTTTTTATTTTTTTTTATATGGCGTACTGATCGGCTGATGGACAGGCCGATTCATTCGGAATCTGGCGACCGCCATTGATCAGCGCTGATTCTCTCGTTGTTGTGATCTTCGTACTCGTCCACTGCACCGTATATATATATATATATATATATATTTTAGCGGCTCGTAATTGTATCTTGTTCCATTGTATTTTACATGCACCGGAGTAAACGCACGCAGTGCAATCGGCAGACGAATCGGCTGCAAATAATAAACAAATAAACAATAATACTCGCGCAAATCTCTCGAATGAAGAGCGAGCGATGTCGCTATCGAAAAGTGAAAATTTTTTTCTCATCGCGCCGGAGATTTTTCTTTTTCTTATCGCACCGATTTGTCTGCCGAGCAGAGATTTGTATCTACGTAGACATTGTAAATTTAGTAATTAATCCACGACAGACTCGATGCGCCTGTAACTAGAGAATTCGCCCGAACGCCATATTGTTCTTATAACGTTGCGTTGCGAATCGCTAAGTACGAGGCGCATTATCGAGAACCGGTCGTAGATTGTATGGTTTATTCCATTGTCACCATTGGGTACTTGGCGATTTCACCTTTCTATGGTGCACGCGCAGGGTGTCCATATAAAAGTTCTTAACCGGATCTACGATCACCCAGCGGAATTGACCACCGCTCAAGAATATGGCTTCGAATAACTTTTTTTTAAGTAGGGTGAGAAAAAAATACATATGGACACCCTGCAGACGAAACCTCGAGTATTACGAGCCGAAGGAGCGCACGTAAGGATCGTAGCAGCAAGATCGATGGATCGTATGTCGTAGCCGCAAGTAGGAATAAGGATGTGAGAGCACCGTAGTGTCGGGAGCGCTGGAATTGGACGTGGAGCTGCAATACACACCGCAATTTTATATATCCCCAACAAACAAACAAACAAATCAAATATTGCAATTAATTTCCCGGTATGTCTTGTACCCGCTCCCGCCGCGCGTCCCCGGAGTCCATTCCGGGGGCGGAAGTTCCAAAACGGCGGGAGCCCCCCTCCGTCCGCCTCGCCTGACTAACGCCTACGGATCTCTTTCCAGCTGGTGGCCGGAAGCGGAAGCGGAGGGAGTGGTTCCGGTGGTACCACCGAGCACGGAAAGGCGGACGAAACGCAAGAGGCCGTACCCGGTCCAGTCACCAGGTTCTTCGTCATCGCGAATCGAGGACTCTCGAATCTCGTCCAGGATCTCATACTCGTGAGTACAAACGCGATACGCCTAAAACTTTCACCGCAATCTCTAATCGCAGCTTCCATTTTTGAATACGGCAAATTTGCAGAACGTAACGTTTACGAAAACGTTCCAAATTTTCCACTTGCGATTCTAAACACCCGCGCGTTATGGTTTAATATTATTATTTTCTCTAGTCACGTAGCCTTTCCATAGGCGTAGGACGTCCGAAGTAATTAAGTGCAGTAAATAATAGAATAATCGATCGTGCGACTGCAGTGGGGGTTATAATTATTTAGAAACTGCACTGTGCTTATTCTCGAGGAGAATATATCGAACTATTCCTGTGCGTAATAGGAGGGATAATTGGGTGATCGATAATCAAGCGGCGTCACAGCTCAGAGCTATTGCTAACAATGCGATCATACGCGACTACTTAATAACGTATTTTGAAAGACATCTACGTCAATCCCAGCTACATAGCACAGACGGATAATATGACGGGAATTTATTTTTTTACACCGGACGTCGATTATGGATTTCGAGATTTTACTGAGTCACGCGAAAGTAAACCGCGACTATGACGAAATACTAAACAACTATATCGAAGAACGATTGATTAATAGACGTCAAGCTGAATATAATTTCATTAGACAATTGTGTTAGAAACAGATCTAATGGTATAATTCGTTTGGAAACTACGGGAATTTAATTCCAGTGTATGTAATTCTGCAAATAATTGCGTTATTTCTGACGCATATTAGTTGTTCGTATCTCCATTTTACTATCTGCGAAGAAACCGCGAGTGATTTCAACATCGTTAGATGAATGAGAAAAAGTATTTCTTATTCGGAATCACGGTCTTCACAGTTCGCTGCATGAAATTTGCGAAGTCTCGCGCTTAATACAGATCCAATAAAAGATTCAAATAAACGCGAATACGAAAAACTTAATATTGCACGTGACGTAATTCCGATTGCGATCCTATCTGCGATAAGCAATCCAATTTGTCGTCGCAAATGACTGCATTTGTTGACACGCGATAATTGCCATCGGATTTGTTTCTTCAGCGGATTTGCGAAGTGAAATTCGCGTCGTGATTTCTTGTGCAAAATTGCGAAATTAATTAAGATGGCGAACGCGCGACAAAGCATCGAAAGAAAACGCGAAGTCAAAGTTGCGAGCCTCACAATGAAGACATATTAATATCGAGCAAAGAAATATTAGTTAAATATATTTGAAGAAAAATTTATTTGAAATTTATTTGAAATTTGAAAGTCGTAGGTGAAAAATAAAGTACTACAGCTTCAAAATACATAGGAGAAAAAGATAAAGATGCGATGGAATTTCGCAAGGCATGCCTCCTTAAAACTCTAGAATTAAAGAGATATTCCGTCCGTCATAATATTTACAATTTGCTCAGAACTGGCTTATGGCATAATGCTTTATTAAGGTCGAGTGTTGCGGCTGTAAGGCCACGTTATATCGGCTGCGATCGTTGATTAGAGAGCCTTGCGGAGTGGCGATCGCGAGATTAGAGCTTCGCGGTGCCGAAAGTCGAACCAGCGTAGCGCCGCGACGCGTCGCGTCGTGCCAGATATAAACCGGGCCATTACGCAAGGCACGCCGTCGGGATCGATGGAAAGTAAAAATGTAAGCGACTTTCTCTATGAAATAGCGCGTCCATTTGCCAGCTGCAACTTATGCAAGAGCCGATCCCGGCACGCAAGATCGCCGGAGGCGACAACCGCGACTGCTACCAAATCAAAATCGCGAACGCGCATCGTGCCACGCTTTGTGGGCGACTGGCCTACATTTAATTTATCGGAAAGGCGAATCTCCGCGTAATCCAACGGTGAAGACTCGGCAATGCGAAAATATACGCGAGTTTCCTTTTCGCATCTTTTGCACCGTCAACACTCCACCGGAAACTGTAATTTCGGGAAAGATAATTGAATGTGCATAGATTGTGAAAGTGAATATATGCATGGCTTTTTGCCTGATTTCAATAATGTGGAAAGTTTGCCACGCGGTTTAATTTATATATTATAAATTGCGAAAAGATTGAACGAAAAGGTTGAATCAATTTAACATGTGATAGTGACAAATATTATAGAGAGAAGATGAGAAAAGAAGTGACATTTATATTATATTTGCGAAAATTTTCATACGTTGCCGAGCAGACTGCGCTTTCACTTTGCGATTTAATCAGTTTTAAGCTCCTAGAGCATGAAATCAATGGCCTACAGTTGATTGGACATTGTCCAGCTAGAAGATTATTCTCGCGCCGTCTGAACGATTTTCAACCTTCGAACATTGCATGATGGATGATCTAAACGATATTGCTACTGAAAAATAAGATCTTGTCTGTTTCGCGATCGTTATAATACAATAACTGGTTCCTCGATCTTTGATCTAAATATATATTATATATATTGTACCGTAGTCTAAATATTACGCATTTCGTAATCTATGAACTGATGACGGTTATAATTTATTAATTGCTAGAATATTAATGGTGACCCGAAAGAGCTATTAATTAAATCGCCGTTAAAATTTACAAAACCGGAACTGAACTAGCTTAGATCATACGCAATCACGCGAGGATATTTTTATTTAGTGTAACGTACGATTCTCTGTGATTTTTTAAACCAATGATTTTTACGCTTGTAATACTTAGAATTACCGCGCAGACCGTGGAAAATGATTCACCTTAGATCATCTGATCGACGTAACCGCGACGTTTATTCTCGGCCATTTGTTACTTCCGTACAATGATTGGATTTTGTAATCAGTTAATAGCAGATGATTATAGCTTTTACTAAAGATAATAATACGGACGCAAAAAACGGCTTACGAATAAATTAGATTTATTAATAACAAAAATAAAATTACGTTGATACAAAATTAATAATAACTTTTATATTTATATCGAAAAAAATGTTGGAGAGAGAAAATAATATTAATTGACTCACGCTACTTTTATTCGAGTCGTAAGTTAGTCCGAAGGTTGTTTGTGAAAGTAAAAATATTCGCAATTAATTCACGAAAGATTTTAACAACCTATTGCGATATTTAAGTTAACATATCATTAATATTATTAACATTAAAAATAGACATTTTTGCTTTCTACAGATTTAAAGACATTGAATTGAATAAGCCTATTTATATTTAGAAATATTTTAATTAACAAAACATGAGAATCATATTAAATAATAATTATCCTTGATTTTAATTTTAAAGACGAATAATGATAAAAAAAGATATAGAAAAATTAAAGAGAAAGAAATTAAACAGAAAATATTTTTTATATCTAAAAAATAGAAGAAAAATTTAGAAATTACATTGAGATCAATCGATGATAAGATGATAATAAGATAAAATGTTTAATAAAAAAAAATAAAAAATAGTAATATTAATATGACAAATAATGACTGAGTGATTAATAATAAATGAATAATTAATAATGAATGATTAATAATTAATGAGAAGGGAGTGTGTTTTGTAGTAAATAATCTCGCAAAATCCTTAGATAGCGGAAACACCGGTGTGTTGACGTGTATTACAGTCACTACAGGCTGAGATAACAGGCTTAAATTGTGCATAACTGTATTATACTTGCAAAAAAAATCGTATACGCATAATGTAAATTAGGATTTCGCGGCGATCGATCAACTGTGCAACGGCAGGAAGGAGCGTTCGGGCAGAAGGAGCGCGGAGAGAAAGGAAACGAAGTAGAGATCCTGGAACACTTTTGTCGGCCACCGTGATTCTTCTTTTTTTTCCGCGCCGCGTCTCGCGTCGACCGTAATTGTTTTATTATGCCGCAATTTGCGGTACGTTGAATTCGCTCGCGCTAACGTGCGGAGGCGTCTTGCATAGGAGGATGAGGAGCGTCCGCCGTGCCGTGCGGCGGTTCGAAAGCGTTCACGCTTCGTGCGCCGCGCGGAATTCCTCGATCCGAGCCGAGCTCTTTTGCACGCGCGCGATTAAACGAAGACGCTTACTAGGCGGAAGAAGTTTTACACTGTTTGCAGAACAGCACGCGCTTGTGATTCTATTCTCATTTATCTCAACTTGAAACTCTTCGAGTGTTTTCCGTATAAACATAACCCACATTAAATAACATAGTAATTTATTATGACAAAAAAAAATTTAATTAATATAATAAGATATGATGTAATAATAAGAATTTAAAATTAGGAGGAATCAGTAATTAAGAATTAGAAAAAAATCTGTGGAAATTGTGAAACGTTTAGGTACTGCTTTTCCTCATAAAAATAAGTCGGAAGGTTATAGTAACTGACGGAAGATCTTACGAATATAACGATAGTAGATAGATATAATAATCCAATTGACACCGAGATTAATCTGTTTTAATTTGCAGCGTTTGGCGGCCACGAGCGAGCGCTTTGTCAACTTCAAGGCGCGATTGATCACTTCCATCATCTAAGATCTCACTTGAGGACTGGGATGAGGAAGCACAAGAAGGGGGGGGCTTCGCCGGCTTTAGTACCGCCACGTGGGTACCATCGCCGAGCCGCCTTTGCCAGTAGGAGCACGGGTACGACGTTGGCAACAAAACCAATCTCATGGTGTTGCCCCCTTGTCCCTGAGATCCTGAATTTAATTCCTTCGTCGATGGCCGTCGAGCTTCTCGCGAAAACGCAAGACACTTCGCCGCCAAACGCATTCTCCCAAGCGATTGACTCGATTCCGTTTGACTTTGTTCACTATATTATTCAATTCCCTTTTTTTTCCCACCTACTTATCACTCTCTTATCTTTCTCTCTCTCTCTCT